CACATTATTCAATTATTTGAATATAAAAAGAATAAGATCACGATTTAACAAATTAAAATAATCTTTCGTGAACTCTTTCACGAATAACATATTAAACAATATTAAAATTATAAATTAGTGGTAATGGCTTATTCTGGAATATATGACCTCTGCACATCATCAGTACCTGACTTGGTACAGTATAGTTACTACTTGGATACAGAGTTAGATTTAATAATGTAACAATAAGAACAATATATATTACAATAAACTTCTCTGCACATGTCAGACGCTTGTTACCATGAACTAACACTACTTGACAACGGGCTGAGCACTTATCACAGAGTCTGTGTGCGATGCCATTGTTGTGCTGTGATTGGCTAGTTGAGCCACGTGAAGCCCTACTGTAGCGCCCTCGCGTATCGCGTGAATGCTGCACATTTCTGGCCATGGAGAGAGAGAGAGAGAGAGAGAGAGAGGGAGAGAGAGTGGGAGACGGCATTTGAGTAAGCTATGAAGGTACATGCACATGTACATAGTGCTATTAACAAAATTTGTAGAAAAAAGGACGATTATTTAAGTTTATGTTTCCCTGTCAGGGTATTCATTAATATTTAATTCGTTTATTTCCTTACAGACTGATCTTGATCTAGAGAGTAATCTGACAGTTTGTAATGGCTCCCCGTGCCTCGTACCTGGCCGATGTAGAGAAGACTGCGATCACAATGAACCTTTTTGTCTGGGTAGGTGTTCGTTTATTCTTTCCGCCAAGATGTGCTCCTTGCCATAAATACTCTAATAACTTACAGGAACATAAATAACTTGTAATTTTAATGGTATGAAGTGCATTTTTTTAAAGTATCGTTATCGTTATATTTTTTAAACTGACAAATTAAACTCAATATTATGTACAACTGCATTAAAATACATAACATCAAAATTTATCCGCCCTGTTTATCCGGGGGGGGGGGGGGGGTATATCACATCTATGAATTTGATTTTAGTTTCAAGAACTATCTGGAAAATAAAATAATTGAATCAGAAATTGCAAATTGAGATCAACGCAACGCAAATAACTTTGCTTTGTTGAATATTATTTGTTCCAGTGTTACACCAATGTTTTAACATTGATTGAAAATTCAATGACAGTATTTAGAAATCAATTTAGATCTCAAATATGCAAACAACGTATCATATTTGACACCTGCGTTCAAATTGCGTTGATGAAATGACACACTTGCATTCCCATTATCATCTAATATCATCATTTCATTATGATCCAACTACGCAGAAAAATTGCCCTGAAATACAAATGATGAAACGTTCATTTAATGCCGAAGAAGTCAGCGGGCGTTATATAAGGCATTGACTTTATTAATTGATGTCTTGCGATCGCCACTGCAGCACCAGAGACCTACGGCTAAGCGTTAGTCGCACCCAGAGCCCATTGGGGGCGGTGGGAGCATCTTCATGTTCTGCAGAATTCACGTTGGGGCCAAATCTGAACCAAACTAGACAAGTTCCGATCGATGTTGTAATATTATTCTACTCTAAGAAACCTGTCAGAAGGAATACCTTGACGCTTTAGAGCCGTAGTAGCAGCCAGATCAGGCCAGACGTACCACTGGCCGTTGCTGTGACTAGAAACCGATATGAGTGTTCTGTGTGGAACGTTTAAATGTTTCACAGATGATAATTTGGAAAATATGCAGATCTTAATAACGCTTTTAATGGTTGTTGTTTGACTAAGATTCAGCCATGTATTTTTTTTTTGCCTAATTCGGTGAATTCAATTTAAAAACTGAAGTAATAAAGTATAAGTGTTAAAAGTGATTAAAACAATTATCAAATCCTTGCTTTATTTATAAGTCAGAAAAGTAGAAAAAATAAATGAAATTTTTTTTTTTAAATTGCCATGTTAGATTACAAGTCAGTATATGCATTAGGCTGGTGGATTTGTTATTCTTACATTTTTTTTCGGATACAGCTCAATGAAGGCATTCACATTTATCTAAATATGAATTCACTTATTTCAGGAGACTCAACAGACTGTGATGAGACACCGATGTTCAATATCCATCAATGGTCAGGTATCTCCCAGTACGATCAAGACTCTGGTGTTATCATTGTAAGCTCACGTCTCTATAATGCATATTTACTTTTAAAATCGGTTTTAAGATACTTTTTGATGGTATGTCACCGCAAAAATTTCCCCGTCATAAACGTATATTTAATGTTGTAAATGCATGTAAACAGCAACATATGTATACTTCCCTAGTAAAAGAAGTGTCACCCCTAGTGCAATTTGCGTAAAATGACTGAGAAAATCATGTCATAAACCAATATTTTTTATTCAGCTTTTAAAAGGATTTTTTTCACAAAATGTAACTGCTTCTACAAACAATGAATCAGTTAACTATAGTAAAAAATCTAATATACATTTTGGTATTTTGTGCAGTACCAAATATGCATATAGATTTTTGTGCAGTACCCTCTGGATTGGAGAATGCACCTTGTGCGTCTGTGGGGTAGCCCTGCAAACAAAATGATCTCATACTATCTAAGCACTCTATGTGGAACGCCATCACTCCACAAACTTTGCAAAACGTTTTGGCTCCTCGCGTGCATTGCACATCAGTACAGTAGGGGCGCCACTTTATTTTTTGCTAGTGCTTATATTTATTTCACGAGTTTGTCTCCGAACGGAATTAAGTGATTGCTTTTTATGGTGCCTCAGAGTACTTCCTACTCAAAGACGAAAGATGCCAGCGGTTTATATCTTCTCTGGAGTGGAGCGCTGAGAGCAGCTTTTAACTGTACAGGATGCTGTACAGCTTGGACTTTCACAATAGATGGCGTTGAGTGTTCAAACCCCTACCCCATTGACTATGCAGAGTACCACGCCAACAGAAGAAATCGTCTTCATCATGTGGAGTGTGAGTTTCTTTTGTTTAGTTTACATCTAATCTACGTATGCTAATATGTGATCACAGTTATTACCGTTACCTCCGCCAAGGATGTCATGTGTTTGGTGGTAGCGTTTTTCTGTTGGCAACATTATGCAAAAAGTTTTGGACAGCTGTAAATGAAATTTTCAGGTTATTTCACAAAGGTCCGAAATGGAGGCAATTAATATTTAGTCGAGGCTGATGAAACCTGCAACGTGTATAATATTTTGTGGGGGGGGGGGGGGTACATCTAAATTATTTTTATTTTCGCCCGCAGCAATATATTACAGTTAGCACAATCAATATCAACACGAGTCAACAGACACATGCCTGTAGATATGTTATGTGGCTGTTGCGATGAATATACGCTTTATTCGGCTTAAAGGATGTCTTTCCGCAGTAGACGCTTAAATAGGCCTTTCTCTGAAACTTTGCCTATTTGATCCTGAACCCCAAAGCATGTCTCACACGAAACCGTTGAGAAAATAAAGGTCGAGGTATAGGTTTTTAAGATCACTTAAAGAAAAAAAAAGCGCAGCATTTTTTTTTTTTCGTCTAAACTTCTCGCCATTACTCCCCTACGCATGGAATTCTGGGACTTGCCTCAATTTGCATATGACTGAATACTACTGTTTACTACGCTCTGGAGAAGACCCGGATGTCACTGCAAACCAAGATGGAGGGTAGTCCGAGTACACGTGAGTTGAAAGAGAGAAGAATAACTCTACGGGACAATGAAAAAGGAAATAAAACGGGAAATGCAGAAGCAGAGGATGTTATTTTCATTGGCAGGCCGGTGAGGTAGACAAAGCAGAAGTAGGAAATAAAACTGACAAGCGAGAAACTGACAAAATTCTGCCGGATACGGGTAGGTTATTTCGATCTCTTATCACGTCCGACTCTTTCATTGAGAACATATTCAGGAGGCGGATTTAGGGCGTCTTCTGGTTCTTCCGGAAGACGGTTAGATTTTCAAGTTTTCATTGGCGGGTATATGTAATATTTCTGTCGAAAGGCGGTCAAAAATGGAGGATGGATCAACATTACTCGGAAGACTGTCAGAATAGACCTATATCTCTGGATCCGCCCCTGTTATCCCTGCTGTACGCAGAAAAGTTTATTATTCTTTAGAGCAGTCAGTACAAACAAGGATTGAGCTAAATAGTCTTCTATTAAAGACTGGTTTTTGTCGGCTTACTTAACGTCGTTATATACTCAAGTCCAAAAAAAAAAAAAAAAAAAAACCACCTTTCACTATTTACCTTATTCGAATTTAATTTAAATTAAAAGATTTAAAGCGAGCACATTAATTGCAGCATCTGATGGTAGTAAATGTTTATTCTCTGTTTATGTTTTTAAAGTTGACTTCATGGGGAATCTCTGGAGAATGAGGATAATACACTGGTATATATATTTTTTTATCCAGGTAATATGCATGTGGTAACATCTACCCCTACATCAGGTTCAAGGCCAACATAGAGCCAGAGCCAAAGTAAGTACCTGACACCCAGAATCCAAACACACAATAGCTGTTTATTTTACCATGTTCAGTACACCTTGCCATCAATATCAATCTAATGCATGTTAGTACTTGGAACAATGCCATTTTATTATAAAGTTTAACACTGCCATGGCAGCTAGTCCTAGAATTGTGACAAGCACAGGATATCAGTACTTATTGTGGGGAACATTATATAATAAATTGGATTTTGAAACAAATAATTTTGATAACCATGCTCTATTCAGTGCTCTTATGTCTGGCGTAGACATTACAGATAGTGGGTGCTATTAATTTCACAAAAAAATGCATTGAAGTCTTTCCAATAGTCAATGTTTTGTTTTTAGGTATACTAAGCAGCAAAGCAAGCACTCAAAATCATGGATGACAGTAAGACCTCAAGCTGTTACATAAACAATTAGCACAAATAAAGGTACATTCCAGTCTTACAAACCAGGAATTTGACATGGGAATTACAAGTACACATTTCTAAGCAGCCATGGTGCAGATGGAACCAAGAGACTCAAGGCACCGTGGTCCTTATATGTATATAAGAATTTTTTTTATCAAAATGATGATTACCTCACATAAACTTTTCTTTTATAAATCCATCCAGACATACATTATTTCCTTGTATGACATTAACTTTTAAAATGATTGATTTTATGAACAGATTGTGTACAGAGTTGCATTTTACTTTTGATATGAGAAAGGGATAAATGAAAGCACCTTGTTTTTCTATGCCTTTATTTTTTATGTTCACTGAATGGTTGCACAAATTACAGTAGAATGAAAAGAATCTCTTCAAAGTGAAGTAATCCAGCAAATTCAACGGCAGTCAAAATGTAGGGGACATTACAGTGAGTGGGAGATGGGCCAGTCCCATCTCCACTGATGCTGAGTCATTGCTTGGTAAATTCTCTAGCAAAAGCATCTTTATATCCAGTGCAAGGCCAGGATTTCCATCACACTTGTCACAATGTATTCAGCACTTTCCTTGGCAACACCATCATTTTCTTGGCAACACCATCATGTATGCTCTGATAATGAAAAAAAATATATTCACTTTTATATCTGTCATTTCTGTTTTGATATGTACAATAGCTTACTTCAAAAATAAAATATTTGAAAATGTATGAACACTAAAACAACCATAAGGACTGGATTTCACACCACCAAATTTTATCGAATACTTACTTTACTTTGAAAATAAGAAGGAATATGAATGGTGTTTGTGTATTGTGAGAAACTTAGAATTTATCTTTTCAATAAAGATTTAATGAGTTTTATACCTCTTCTGTGAGTTACTGAATTCTCCTTTCATGTTCTTGAGTCAATCCTCCTGATCTCACACCTCTTCCAAGCCTTGTACTACTGGACCTAGAAGTGCTATGTATCACTGCCAACTCTACTAAACCTTTATACAGGGCTTTTTTTCTAATGAGGCTGACATCAGAAGATAGTATGCTGTAAAATAATAATAAAACTAATAATAATAATAATAATTGGCACTGATTTAATTGCATGCTAGTAATAATGTTGTGAACTGTTCAAAATGGGTTTCACTTCAATTAATCATTGTCCTGCACTTAAGCGTATCAATTGTTATCCCTAAACTATAAGTTTTTTGTATGTGTGGATTATTACATGTGAATATAGGTGAGGGTAAGGTGGGTCCTACACATTACTATCAAAACTGAGGAATATGCCAGATTAACTAAAAGGCCTGTAGGCCTATTATTTAAAAATAACAGAAAACTCTTTACCTCAGGGAGCTCTTTACCCTCTAGTTCTGGACTGCTCTGACTGCTTGCCTCATCAACAATAGGCCTACTCTCGATCTGAAAAGTATAAAGACAGATCGACTAGAAAAGCAAGATAAGATGCGTGTACGATGCTCACCACTACTGCCAGTAAGTATCAAAATCGTCTGGAACGCATTTGTAGTCCGTGCTACGCTGTGCGTGCACATCGCGATGTCAAAATTGCGGCTCAGAAAGCATAGCAAACAACAAAAAAAGTAACAGTCGTTCATAAATATCCAACCGAAAAGGGCTGGTTCAGTTGACCCGAAAAATATCACTGTCTCTAATCATGTCACCGGTATATTTCCTGGTACACTTTACTCATTCGGTGAATCGGCATTGAGAATTACGGCATCAAGCACTGTTGGCTACACTCCGTCGTAAATATTTCCAAGCCATTCGTTGATTTTTGGACTATTTTAACCGACGAGAAGTTAAATGAATTCTTTAAATGTTTAAGTGCACAAACCTGTTCACGAACAATGAAGGGAGAGAGTTTTAACTAACGTGCATCTGTAAACGACTTACTTCGAACTCCACCGCGCCATATTTGTTTCTCCTAGTGTACGAGTGCTATTTTAGGCAACGCACTCTGATTGGCTAAAACCTTGCGGTAGTCGTCTTCTCTTTTTTGGGGAGAGGACGTTCTCCAATACAGACTCGAATGTGAAATAATTAATTATTTTGATTGCCGTCTACCTCAAAGGCGAATTTTGGTTTAGATCGTGACCTTCATATATAAGAAAAAGTTTGGGATATGTTTCATTTTCCCTCATATCGGAAATACCCCCTTTAAGTAAATTTTTCTCGGTATATAACTTATACGTATAACCCCAGAGCATTTTATGATTTGAATTTCGGTCGTAGATGCTCGCTGTTATCTGGCATATCGCTCGAATGAAAATATAATATTTCTAACATAATTTTACTCTGCATTTATGGTTTGATTTATCATTAGTTATTAATTAATAAGGAGAAGAACAGGCTTACCTTGCGGGAGGTCTCCACTATCTGAGTGCTATTTCTAGTTTAATGGTAAAAAATTAAAATTTGATAAAATATCAACCGTGTATAGCCTATAATCATATTTCTTATCAGTTTTTGGTATCTGCTACGGGATCGGCATGGGGACTAGAACTATTGCCTTAGAATACAAAGACTGTGATGGAACAGTTCACGACAACTATGTAGGTTGGAACTCCAGGTTATATATTATCATGGCAGAAGTGGCGGAAACCACCGGATCGGGTATACGTACAATTTGTCTTTTTGTGCCGGCAATTTGCTTTTCTACTTCTTTTTTGAATTTATAGGTTGAGTCAATCAACTGTGCTAAAAGCTGCCAAATTGCCCCTTTGAAGGATACTTGTCTTACGTGACATTTTTAATGTAATGTATCCACTCCATTTGGCATTAGACGCTTGGAATGTCTTTGATATATATTGTTAATTTAGTAGATAAATGTTTGCTTGGACACAAAAAGTGCAACGTAATTGTCGTTTGGATATTTAAACATTATATTAATTGAGCATCTGCGGGCCTATCTTCCTTTGTTTTGAAGGGAAACAGTATTGATGGTGGTACTATGAATTTTTCAGCCACATGTGAGTCTCAAACGGCCTTTAACATTCAACAGTTTGCTGCAGTTTCTCACACAGAAACAAGGGATGAAAACATACATTCGGTAGGTCTTAGGTCACAACTATTACTGACATCTGTGGCGACGTCTTGTTCAGTTGAGAACATTTTTTTTGAAAATTAAAATTTGTGCCAATTGTAGATTTAATTGATAACATGCATACTGGATTCGCAACAATTTATTTCGTAGTGAGAAAAAGGCATCCTGTTCTTGCGGGGTGACTTTTGGAAGTGTTCCTCTGGCGGTTACAGATTTTTACCTTATCTTATAGACAGTAACATTCAAGTGGTATTTTTATAGAGCTGGACATGCACGGTAGATAGAAGCTGTAAATCCTTTTTTTTTTTTTTGCAAACTAAGCACACTTTCCTGTATTCATTGGTTGCCAATATTGGTAACAACTGTAAAATGAATTTAATGTGGAAGATGAATGCGAAACACCATAATCAGTTTAGGGATATATGCCAGCCCTTTATTTTTTATGTGTTTATCTTGTGGTAAGTGGATGATACTGAGTCTCATATAACAGTGGTATATTTATGTTTTACAATGTTGTGGCAGACGTCGCATTATGTAAAACGGGCAGCTGACACCGCTTTGCGAGTTCGCTGGAGTGGTAATTTGTACGGGGAAGGCAACTACAAATGTGGTCGATGGTATTTCAAATTTAACGGCGTGGAATGCTCCAATCCCGGGCCACTAGAATGGGTCATGTACGTCAATGGAGGCCACGTACCTCAGGTCAAGCGGGGCGTTGCATGTAAGTTCAAAAACTGCTATGTGTCAAGTAAACATGTCAAATATATTTATATTATACAGTAACTCTGTTCATTGTATCGTATTATCTCATGTCTGTTAAATAGGTGGCACTTCTGATGGTTCATTTTAAGGTTTTAAGTGCTATTACGTACCATTGTGCTATAAATGTGGGCGTTAGATTATTTTGTACCAATTTGTTGTCTGTTTGAAAGAAAACAACGAAGATATCACTTCGCAAACCACATAATTACATGTGTAGGAAGGCAAGTTGATTGTTGTTACCAGGATATTGTTATTGCTTTTTAAAATTGTAAAACACATGAATAAGCAGAGCAACCTGTAACTAAGGTAACACATGTTGATGTGTGGATCATTTCAGTTAATGGGATATGTGAAGGTATTGGTTCTGGAGCCATTGTGATAACGCTGCATGTTGGAAACTGTACAAGCTCTGGTCACCCTCCCTTCGATGCACAGACAGGTAACTCTTTATTACAGATTGGTTTCATCAAATTGATAGCTACTTTTGACATAGTTATCTTACAGTCACTTTACAGCCTATTGAAAGCAAACTTCCTGGTATACCCCGATTATGCGTTACATCAGTAAATATACTATGAGAATACCTTATAATAGCATAATTTTGGTACAGTTGTTCATTTATTTTTTTCATCGTATATAAAATATTATATTTACGTCTTAGGCATGAGGAGAATGGCTACTTTACTTGGCGCAGTATCATAATAAAGAGGAGAAATGGAACACTGCTTTGCATTGGTGAAAAATGTTGTCCCACCCCCATTTCCATGTACTTTTATTTACAAATGATCACTTTACAGCTGTAAATTGTTATAAACGGTGCTTTTTTATCCCAGATACCATGTCTAGCATGATTACAGGTTCAGAAAATACTAAATAATGGTGAAAATATACACATTGTATACCATTTAGTCAAATTTATAACAGGCACCCCCTCAATTCCAATGTTTCACTGTGATTACCACAGATGTAAAGAAATGCCTATTTAATTAAAAAGATGCCATCAAATGTCACCAAATTTGCACACAATTAGCATTAAGATGTGCTCATTAAAGGCCACGTGCCTAATAGCGTGTGTGTCTTTCGCGTAATGCAATTATCTCCTGCAGGCGGGGCGACAAGCCTTCAACAAGGGTAATAATTCTGTTTTGTTGGATGTTATATACTTCGGTGAGCACGTGTAAAATGCACGCCTGTTCAGCAGGCCCATCTTGCTTGATTACAGAGAACCAAACCATACATACAGACACGCAGGTGCGCAAATAGACACAACTTTATATAATATTATGGAAATTTTTTCGTAGGTTGGAAAACCACAACTCACCTTATAGTGGAGGAGACAAGACTTGGACAAGATATCAGTGCAGGTTGGAACTTTGAAAGGGAAAATTGTGCAATCATGAATACATTCCCCGCCAGCTTTTTGGCACTTAATGCAATTACCCAGTCAGTCAGTTAATATATTCAGATACTTTTTAAATATGGTTTCAATTAAACAGCTGGATCAAGGATTCTTCGATCGATCCTTTTTTGCTGGTTAAAACACATAAAAAGCATGGGTTTTAAAAATCAGAATAGTGGAGAAAATAATAATGTTTGCAAAGTTACAGTGACTTGATTGTTTTTTTAGAATTTAGTTTTGTTAGTCGACATTTTTGTGTTCCAGTTCTTGCTGCCGATGGAACCACCGTCCGTCTGCCGTTCTATAACCGCGTTCAAGGCTACTGGGCTAACTTGTACGACAATGCCGACACAGGAGTTATCCAGGTACGTATCAGATCTATTCATACTTGCTACTTCGTTATTCCTTATTTCACTGAAATCAAATCACTAATAAAGAGACATGTTTTAGTTTCGCGAAAAAACATCATCTTTTCGTAAAAAAATCATTAAAGATGCCATCATTAAGTATATATAATAGTCACCGGAAAATAATGTATCTTTCCTGTTAAACCTGGATACAAAATATTGTAGCCTCATACGCCTATGACATATCATGTTTTGACCCAAGCACATAAATGAAATCCTTACGCGTGCTAAAATGGCCATAGTCCAAGTAGTACCCTTTACCTAGCACGTCAGTTATTAACTAGGCCTACATAATAGATTTTTTTCAAAAAAATGTTAAAGTCACTGATTTTACAACTCCATTATTCGTTCGTCACACAAGTCATCTCCAGACATGGAGCGAGGTTTAAGATGTTTTAGTACCTTGTACCTAGCATTGCAGTTAGTTAGATATTAGCCGTTGTTTGACGACTCTATATATTATTGTAACTTTGGGTGAAATTGCAGGATTCATAGCTTAAACTTACTGATAGCAGAGCATTACCCTTGATTTTAATTGAAATATTTTGGTTGCATTTCTCACATTTCCGTACAATCTTTCCAGTCTATGACGTACAACAAAAAGTCAAACTCCAGTGGAATCCATGTCATTTGGAGTGTTAACGTGAGGAATCACTTAGACGACACCTGTGCCAAATGGTCCGTTACATTTAACGGGACTCAGTGCTCCAATCCTGGAAGTATTGAACATATCATATATACGCATGACTTTGACACCGGAACATACGTGAATTGGCATGTCCCGGGCATTGGTAAGAGCATGCAATGTTGAATGTATTAATTAAATATATTACCGTGTTTGTAACTACCAGTACTTAATATCGACTATGGCATTGCTCAGATTGTAATTTTTTTTAACAAATCAAACACATCGGTGATTGATGTTGCTTGTTAATTCCAGTCGATGGCATGTGTTTTGGCATCGGGCGCGGTGACGTCATCATAGCTTTGGTGGTCGGTGCGTGTTCCTCACATACTGGATACGATGCTTTTACTGGTTGGCGGTCTGGGACCTTCTTGATGGTGGAAGAGGTCTTTCTTGGAGCCTAACAAAAGATTATGGAGTGATAGTTTCAGACAGCGGGCTGCCAAAGACATTTATTGAATAATGGCGTTAAAAGCACTTTTTTCGCCTTGTACAAAAGGCACATTATTATTACAGTAATATGCACACTTTATCAACGGCGCCCTTTATAGTAAGCAAGGTCACATCTATGTCCCCCCTCCCCCAAATGTTAATTTTGGTGTTGGTTTCTCCCACGCCTTCATGTAAATTCCTAACATGCAGAAGTTAGCACTGAGTGAAGTTTCATCATAGTCGATTGATCTAATGCATGGGTCGGATTGGTATGCAATTGTCATTTTCACAAACCGATGTTAAAGTTACACATAATTATGTTATATGCACAATATTTCTTTATCGATTATTGGATAAATCGACATCTTTTTTTCATCTTTAAAATTGCCACGTGCTTATTAAGGAAACATAAAAATATTGATAGGGGTTATTTGGAAAACATCAAAGCAAATTTCGCTTCTTTATCTTATAAATATACAATTCTATCATAACTCTATTATTATTTGACCACAAAATGTTTTTGTTTTTGAAATATACTTCTTTTGCGTTACAATTTTATTAAATTGGTGCCTTAATATAGATTTGATCCTTCTAGTTTATTTTGCATTCGCGTTTGTTTTCAGCACAGAGCAGTCTTCCCGTGATTTATAGATATTACACTGAATATCAATTTCCACAAATGTGTAAAATATATATCTTAGTTATTAGTGCAAGTATAATTGCAAATTTATCTGTGAACACATGTGTAATGCAGTGATTGAATGTGATCACACGCCGACGTTCAATATTCGTCAGTGGGCCAAAATGTGTACAGAAGACTCCTCATCGCACGATGCACATGGAGGGCTTATTGGTTTCTTCAGAACATCTTTCGAGTTGTATTTACATGTATATTGGGTTTAATTCAAATGTCATACATGAGAATAGATATTAAGAGGAGGCACGTTTCTTTACATGTATATCCTTATAACAAAAAAAAAAAAAAAAAAAAAAAAAAAAGAATAATAAATAAGAGGTTAAGCAAATGATACCCCTTGTAGTTTAAATGAAATAATGGACCATTAAGGCACATCTAATGAGCACATCACCAAAAAAATTCCCTCCCAATGTGAAAATCTTCCAATACATCCACATGATGATAAATATGAGTAACTGTGACGCTGGAACTTACATTTAGCCACAGACCGACGCTGCAGTTTCAACTTTAGACCTTTTACTATGTAAATGACTTAGATCTACTTGTCACCTGATCTATTGCCATACGGCTAGGAATAGTCTCCAGTGCCCCATCCCATATGTGCGAGTGGTTATACATAAGGCTTCCTTTCTTGTTCAGTGTTGAGTTTTCTACCCATTCCCAGATCCATGTACATGTATCATCCGATATATTTTACACTGTACATGTAGGTGGGCTCATTTTTATGATAACTTCAGTTTGTGTTATACCCTTGTTTTTAGCTAATCCACCTCCTTTTTATGTCTTCACTTGCATGCCTTTGTTATTTACGTTATATAATCGTTTAATTATTGCTGTATGATACAAATGTCTAGATTGCCAGTCTCCAATGATCGACTTTTATGCTCAGTATTTTCATATATCCTTGCAATGGATACCAAGCATGGCCCTAAGGGCCTAGTGTGTCTGACAGGCTAAATTTTATAAGCAAATGAATTTGATTTTATTTAATGAATGTGACATCAATAATTGCGCCATGACAAATCGGTCATCCCCAAATTTTCAACTGTCTCTCGCCAAACAAACAGTAAAAAATTATTGAGAATGTCATTAATTTTATTTCATTGTTTTATTACTTCATTTAGAGTTTATGAATATGAGTAGCTTCTTTAACTTAAAATTTGGGAAATTACATCTTCAAAACTAAGCCATTACAGAGGTCGATATATCAGAGCAAGTATATATAAGAAGTAGTGTCTATACATGTAGATAAGAAATATCGGTGAAGATAACCTAGTAGCAGTCTACTTACTGGGGCACCGTCCTGGGAAGCAGAACTCGGTTTGTCGGTCAGCTCCTGGGCAGGGTTTGCCTGTGCCGATGGGACCTGGGCTATTGCACAGTCGGGTAAGCTCTCATATGATCAAACTTATTTACAGAATGATTATCAACTCACCAAGGCATTGTCCTGAGAAGGATGTCTCAATTTGTTTGTCTGTTTAATGGTACCAACAGGTGGTGGCTATTGCACAGTCGGGAAAGCTCTCATATGATCAAACTAATTTACAAAATGATTATCAACTCACCAGTGCACTGTCCTGAGAAACATGTCTCAATTTTTGTGTCCGTTTAATGGTACCAACAGGTGGTGGCTCATCAGTAACACGAGCGCAGGACCTAAGACCTTGAGAAATTTAGTGTCTTACATCTCGAAATAGCCTCCATCACCTCATCCAAGACGTGTGAAATGTTGAAGATATCAAAGAAAAAATACAAGGGGATTTTTTCTCTCTCTTCTCTCTCTCTCTCTCTGTCACTCTCTCTCTCTTGATAAATCATATTCCACTTTTTAGACACCAGCCCTTTGATTAGAGCAAAAATTGTCAAGTTCATGTACTTTGATTTTACCACTAAACCGTAATAGCCTTTACTATTCATTGTTCAGCATAGTAGCTTATGTAGAGGGGAACCAGTTGAAAACAAATTGCAAGTTTTGGACGGTTTCAAAAGCGCATAATTTACCAAAAATGACAAGATGGCAAATAATGGAGAGCCATCAGTATCCAGTATCTTCTTCTTCAAGTTTATTCTCTTTAACTGATATTTAGTAAGAGAGAAAGTTAGTTATAATAATTATAATAATATGAAAGAGTACATTTAAACCAGGAGTAAAACTGACTTTTGAATGAAACATTTCTACGATAATTTAGAGCACGGAGATTTTTAGAAGAAAAAGTCGATAAATAAGCTATTTTTGTTAATGTGCATGGGTCCTTGAAAAATGCAGAGAACAGCAGCACATACAGCACTAAACGGCCCCTATACGCAGCCCAAACGTATATGGTCGGGAAGGCTACGTAAGTATGTATCCTAATATCGACAGGCCTATGGGGTGCGTATTGCTAGGGCCCACAAAGTCTACAAATCTTTTGTTTTTGTACAATTATCAGAGGTCGTACGTTTAGTCTTAGGAAGAGAGGGGTGTATTTTAAATATCGTTTGCTCGTAATTATCTTTCATTCTGATTAAAGCTGTATATTTTTCTTCCTCACTTCCATCTGGTCGCCATCCTTTCATGGCCTAGCTGGGACATTTAACTCGTGAGAAAACACGAAGCTGTTATTTCATCTGTCTGTATTTTTATCATCTGTGTGTTACCCTTTGCACTAGCATGATGCCAGCATTGAGGAAGGTTAGTTATACGATATTATGTAGAACTGAAACATATAACAGATAATTCCAATTCACCTTACAAAGAATTTAAATTTGCAAAACATTGCCAAACGAAATTAAATTAATAAATCACCACTAAAATAGAGTTAAATCAGATTTCAAATGAGGTCCGACATTATAATGGGCATGTCAACTCTGTTTAACATTGCACGGTGATTGCAAAACGCACCCCATGTAGTGTAGCGAGCTGGCAGTGGTCAAAGGACCCATGCATCCAAGCACTGGAAGAGAACGTAAGAAATTCTGTCGAGGATATACACTGTAATAGGGGACCCTGACCACCGATTTATGTTTCAGCCTGATAATGCTACGCCGCGTGCAGCCAATTCATTAGTTTGCTGGCTAAAAGCGGAAAAGATCCAGACCCCCAAATGGCCAGTTCAATCCTTAGATCAGAACTACGTGACGAATGTGTGGGATATCCTCGAAAAAATTGATAACCGAGGGATAACTCTTATAAAAATGGCCTCATATCTTTTCACATTTTGTGGAATGCCATCACTGCGCAAATGTCAGAAATTTTTACTCCAAGCACAGAAGCGCCAGATGCATTTTCCAATCCAGAGGATAACGTACAAAATACCAAAATATATCATTTATATTTTAACTATAGTTAGCTTATTCATTGGTTGTACAATCAGTAAATCTTTTAGAAATTGAATAAAGAACATTGGTTCATGCCAAGGTTTTCTTTATCACTTTACGCATTGCGTTAGGAGTGACACTTTTTGGCAGGGGAGTATACTGGTAGATTTATCAAATGGCATCTATATATGATTCAATAAAGGGATCTAAATAGACAAATATCTAGTGCACAATTGGACAAAATAGTTATATGAGACAAGATGATATATGTTAGGACGTACATGCTTTTTCTAAATTGAATAAGATTTTTGGCATATCATGTTTTCCACGCAAGTGATTTTTTAATATTAGTATTTTGGTGAGGAGACTTTAACGAAATGCACGGTGTATATTCCCGGGGCAATGCTGAACGTTGACCAGCATATACGCCTTTTTTCTATATACTACTTATTTTGATACAGCATTAGTTAGTGACCCTAGAGCTCTGCTAACCTATTTGTTTACTTGGCACAACGAGAGAATCGGCGCTAGCATGCACCTCGGATCTGTTCCCTCGACCCGTTGCCCTACCGTGAAAATGGCACTTAGACATTTAAATAAAATATTGGGACTAATGTCTTATTAATATTTATTTGTTACACTAAATAAAAACAGTCCAATTTATATGAAAATGGAGCAGAAAATGAAACATGTCAAAATCAGTGTTATATGCGTCGATAAGACAAACACCTGCTGTTGCTGTTGCTGTCAATTAATTATTTTGTTGGCACACGGATGATATTGACAGAACTGTGAAAAAAAAAACAAAAAACTTTAACCTTACCCAAGAACTGCGATGTACCTTATGTTCATGTAAATAGATTGAGTGTGTATTTTCAATGTAAGACGCCAGAACATGTCTCAGTAACCTTACTCGCAATTCGGAGAGTTCATGCAAAGTGGCTCAAGCATTCGTATAAAGACAAAACAAGGTGTTATGTAAAAATTAGTAATTCGTCTCTTTCTCTCTCTGAATGTGTTTTGGGCGACATTGCTACTTTAAGCCTAGTGTGGAATGATCGTTTGAAGAAAAAAGTTCGGGTGGTTGGACTGATTGCAGGTTACTGACTTGGATGGCACACTTAATTGATGCGATCACTTGGCAGCTATTCTGGAAATAAGCATAAGCATGCATATATGCATAGGGAGTAATTTGCTTAAACCCAAACTCGCGTATACACCTACGTTATCACACCCGGGGAACATGGACAAAATGACAGGAGCTGTGTCATAAGGTGATAGGCCAGTTGAAGACCGAGGGGAGGGATCTACTGTTTTTCTATCGGTCGTTTACATATAAAAAGGGACCCACGTTCAAATGATCGTATATTTAAGAGACGTAACTCCTCAATACCGCGATTAATTGTATAGACATATGCATATTATGACCGTCCAAAGCCCGTTGCCTGCCCTGCTGTTGGCATTTGTGTTCTGCAGTGTGGAACTTTCTGAAGGCCTTCAGTGTCCGCAGGGCTTTGAAGATGTGGGGAATATGTGCCTGTATTTTTCTCAAGAAAAAGTAAGCTGGGCTGATGCAAAACAGGACTGTAGAAGGAAAGAAGATTCGAATTTGTTATGTTTGGATTCGGGATCGAGATGGTCTACTGTAAAAAATCACATGCTTAAGCACAACAGTAAGTATATATATAAATACTTACTGTTATCAGTAATATACATAAGTATATAATATATAATTTCACAATATGGGTCCCTAGTTTAAATTTAGAGAGAGAGAGTGAGAGTATAATGTATTTTTTTTCATTTTATCTTTTAGCTTTTTTGCGATATGTGCAGATTTTGCGCATTCGTTTGTCCACCCTTCAGCAAATTCTTTAGAATACCTTGTTTATAAAAATAATTTCTCCATGTGAAGGCAAAAAAAAAAAAATAATAATAAAAATAATGTATTAGCATTTGTATATTTACTTTAATTTGATTTAATTTCATTTCATTTCAAAGAGGTCTAGATGATCTTTATTTTCTTCTTAGTGAAATTAATCCAAACAAACAAACAAACAAACAAACAAACAAACAAACAAACACAGAAAAACAAAAATCACACAAAATGAGTGAAAGTGATTAGAAGATTTTATGATTTTTTTATACCCATTTAGCTTTATGTATGTTAACATTAAAAGTGCATATATTAGTGAGAAAAAAGAAATAAGAAGGTAGAAGTCACATGTGATTGGTATATATGCTTGTAGGCAATCTGCCCAGCCTAAGAAAAATCCAATATGGCAGCATTCCATGAGGCATACTGAAATCCAACTGATATCTATTTCTTATGAATGGGATGTGCAAACGTATTGAAATTTGGCTAACTGATGCAGAGAAGTATAGAAGATGGATATGAAATACATTTTCTGTAAATTTCCGTAATTTCTACCAAGAACTATAACATATCCACATAGAATTAAACTATCTAGGGCAATTTTTTTTGTTTGCATTTTTCAGCCAAATTAAGACCCTTTTGGCAAAATTCCCATATAGTGCGATGTGAAAAACGTTTCGCTTTTTGGGACATTACCTCTCGAAAACGAGCTGGAGTAACCCAAATTTATTTATATTTTTTAATGATATGGTGAGAAGATTTTGTCTTACAATTTTCATCAAAAACGCTTGGGCAGAATTGGTGTTTCTGAAATATGAGAGAGCCTCCTTAATACCAGTGAACTGTTGGCAAGTATTCATGAATTCATGAATGCACGGAAAACTTGTTTTAGTCTTTAGTGATTCTTTTGTGCACTTTTGTATGATGTATTTGAAAGATAATAAAGCAAAACTTCTGGAAATATCGCGGCGGATATGATTTCAGATAAAACAATCAGGAATTTGTTGCATAATATATTTAGGGGTCAATGATACTTTAACATTTCACCTAATAGCGTTTATTCTATTCAGTATTCCAACACTACTGGCTGAGTGGTAATCAGAAAAGAGATAGAAATGGACACTGGTACTGGACCTGGGACTCCAAGTATTGTCCGAGAAATGAATTTTTCTGGGCGCCCGGAGAACCAAATGATTATTATGGTTCTGAGGACTGCATCCAGTGGTACACTAAGTGGAATGGTTATAAGAGCATTAACGATGCCATATGCAGCGACCACAATCCTTACATTTGTGAAATACGCAATGGTAATAATAAGGATTTATGGTAGCTTAAATGGGGGAAATGATATAACATAATGCTAAGAGTGTCTTAATGTTTATTTTGTATTAACTGCTTTTCATAATTATATGTAAAACCGGTTCTTTAAACTGCTGAGGTCGATCAAGTTAAACAACTGGTGTCAAGTTCAGTGTGGAAAGTATTGACAATTTAAAGTGCGGCACAATACAACACCCATGTAACTCAATTCATATATATATAAATATGTTTTTTTTTCAGTTGATGGGGGTTGGGGTGCATGGCAAATTGGATCGTGCTCAGTTACTTGTGGAATTGGTGTGCGTGTTCACAAACGCCTTTGCAATAATCCTACTCCAAGATTAGATGGAAGATACTGTGTTGGGTCTGGAAGAAGCACTGAGCTGTGCATATTGAAGCCATGTCCTAGTAAGTTATATTAACAGTAAAGCAAAAACAACAAACTTTGTAAAAGAACCTACATATTTGTAGAATAAGTCAGAAGACATGCACTGATTATTAAGTTGGAACACTGTAAATGTTACTGGTTTGTGTCTCCACAGTCGGCTCTTTGCACTTTTTACATATCGGACCACTTTAATCCATAAATAAATAAATTAAAAAAAAAATACTGAAAACATGAAAAAATAAGGCTTATCTCTACACGGTAAATATCAAATGAATCATTTAAATTGGCTGGAATACTCATTTTCAAATTATAGTCTACGTTATGTTTGGCAAAAATACAATATCTAGCGATAGCCAGTAGAATATGCACTTGTGCCTCTTATCTTGATTGCACGAACAGATGACTAAAGCAGTATTTTCATTAGTATTGTGCAGAAAAATAACATTTCCTCTTAAAATGGGCACTATCAAGTGATATTATATTCAAAAATGTGTACCAACATACAACATCTTAGGATTTAATGCGTAAATTATTTGCCCCCCATGATTCAATAACATTGTACTTTATACCGCTTCTTGACATTCCCCATGTGACTTTAAATAGATTTTGGAATTATCCCTTTGGCGGCCAATTAAAAATTAAAATTGAATAAATCTGAAACAGATAGTAAGTGTCCATGTACGGCTATTTGCATCATTGCGTAGCAAAAGGGTTGGGGCGTCAAAGGTAGAACTGTCGGTGGCATTTTTGGTTTCACCAAATATATGTTGCGTCTGTAACTTCCTTCCGAAAGTGAATAACCCCTCGCTACTTGGGGAATTTGTTAATCTGATTGCATTAAACGAGAGTCCATGTGGAGCACAATAGAAATAACTCATCCTGAAAAAATGCTGTCAAATACCGGTACACATGTTCAATGTGCATAGTCCGATTACGTGATTACTAAAGGCCCCTTTACACTGGACGGCGTCCTTTCTGCGTCCCCTCTGCGATCAAAAATGTGGTCAGGACGCCCAATGGTCGCCAAAGCAATTTAATCGTGTCTCAGTGTAAAGTCGTCTGCCTTCGTTGTGCGTCCTTTGAACGACCGAATCTTGATTTTACCTGTAAAAAAGCAAGCGACCCATGCGTCCACTGAGCGACCGGCCTGCCTCCCCTGTGCAACCCGTGGCGTCCATTGCGATGTTTGAGCGACCATTGCTGCGTTCTCTTTACCATCATCACCGATCAGTGGCGTCCGTTCTACGATCTTTCTGCCTCCTGCTTGACCGATGAGCGTTGTTTGGGCGTCCTTCGATATATTCTAAGTCACTTATATTTTTTCATCGGTTCTAACCAGTTCAACCAATTAAGAATATTTCCAGAAAACAAAACAAATAAATGGACATAAACTTTAAACTACAGTGATGCAAGGTCTTCCTGGACTGATAATAAGCCAGATGCTCATTGTTATTCTTATAAGAAGGATGGACCTTGCGCCAAAAACGAGAAAGTATGACTGACACAACCTAGAAGGTTAAAATCCGTTTTCAAATGACTCATTCTGCAAAAAGTTCCGACAATTATTGCATCTTGTAAAAAAAGCAAAATATTCGTTTTATAATTACCTCCAAAATTGGAACGGTTCAAAAATTTTAGGAAAAACCAATCGGATGCTGATAGGAGACCACTGTTACCCTTAGAATTCCTTTCTGTGAAAATTACCTCAGCACGGCTCCGTTTGAGAGTGAAAAAAAAAGTTATGTTCTACGTGCCGAACACTGGACGATCTGTGAGCGTTCATTCTGGAACCAAAGCAATGTTTGTGCCTTCCTTCTACGACCACGGCGATGCTTGTGCGTCCTCTCTGCGACCAAGGCGATGCTTGTGTGTTCTCTGCGTCCACTGAGGGACCTTGCAGCGTCCATCCTACATCGCGTTCTCTCTGCAATTGTTTTGAACATGCTCAAAACTTCGCGGCGACCATGGCGGCTTCGGCGTTGCTCGAACGTTCTCTGTGCAATCTTAGCAATCACCGTGCGTTCTTTGAGCGTCCGACGGCGTCCTGGCCAGTTTTATGGTTGCACAAAGAACGTACAAAGGACGCCGTCCTGTGAAAAGGGGGTTTAATGTCAAAAGAATTACATCGCATTTAGAATGTTTCGGCAGGTCACACAGCTACAGCCTAGAAAATACCAGATTACTCCAATTATAAAACAGCTGCACTGTAACTGGTAACCAGTTCAGGCTAGGGTTTTATTTTTACACATACTGCCTTTTATAATCTAGTTCCTTCATATATAACTGCTTTGATTAAAAATCATAAATTTAAATGGACCCCGAGACCGACTGACAATCTTTTACGGAAAACTGCAGAATCTAGATAAAAACACATGATGACATAGCATTTTGCATAGCTGCACTGGTGGCATGGAATAAGCCGTCTATATACCTAAGACACATCTATCAGTTAGGAAGGAGCTGGAAACACCCATTTCAAGATGTTTTACTATTAATTTTGTTCAAATTAAACGAAAAAAATTACATTTCATAAACCTTTTTTTTTTACTTTTAATTACTATATAGGTAGTCACACTTTAATTTAATATACATGTTTACTGTAATCACATGTTTCTTTAAACTTTAATAAATTCATGATGTAAACATTTCATGGATTTAAGACCTTAAATAAATAAATGAATTTATTAAATTCATATTACTTATAATAAATAAAAATATATTATTAAAATTATATATATATATATTATTGCGTTTAGTTCACGGAGGCTGGTCGAGCTGGGGAAGTTGGAGTTCTTGTACCCATTTTTGCGGAGGAGGTACAAGAAAGCGGTATCGCTCATGTACCAATCCGACGCCTCAGCATGGCGGAAACGATTGCTCTACATCGATTTTATCACACACTCATACAGAGCAGTGCAACGTCCAACCTTGCCGTAGTAAGGGAATTGTTTTTTTCCTTAGATAATAACTATGTACATTTGTACAAACATAGAGACGGAAGTTCAGTTGAAATACGTTTTAGAAGCTCAAACATATACAGTTTGTGAGAAAAAAAAAACTTAGTACCCTTAACTTTCGTCTCTTTGTTAATTTAATCCAGATACAGCATGAACTTGCACTCCCGAATATACTGCATCGCATAACTGTAAACTTCTTGACTATTCTGCGATGATGATCGAGTCACATGTAAGGTTGTCCTTAATTTGCATTTAATTGGAACATTTTCCTTAACTTGAAACAAGACAGTATCATTAAAACGGCAGGTGTTAGCTTTGTCAAATTTTGATACACATATATTTGACATATACCGTTCTTTAATGTCAGTTGACGGAGCCTGGGCAGACTGGGCCGGTTGGACCCTATGTACAAGGACATGTGGAGGTGGTACTATGATGAGAACTCGTACATGTACCAACCCGAAACCTCAACACGGAGGAAAAGACTGCATCAGGGGCAATGCCACGCAAATTACACAATGCAATGTAATCGATTGTCCAAGTAAGCTTTTCACAAGTATCTGAACAACATGTTTTGAACCCTTAATGTTAGCATTCGCTGCGATTATTTTAAGAACTTTAACTGCAGAACAATCAACTATTCGGTAATTTCTGGAGAGTGGCGCAAGAATGATAAATCAGTCGACTACAATAGACAACTGTGGTGCTCATAGTAATAAAAAATATAAAATCATTGCACTACATCACTCCACTGCTCAACTTTCAGCTTGTCAGCTTCATGACGTTCCTGGTACCAGCAGGTCCGTGCTTGGTCCACGTCTGAAGGAGAACGAGTCTGTACGATATTATTGCTTGCCTGAATATAAGCTTGTTGGAGGCAGCGAAGTTCGAACATGTCAGGCGAATGGGTCTCTGTCCAACGAAGAACCTAAATGTACTAGTAAGTTTTAGTTCGATCAAAAGTGCAGCGCGTTTGAAAATCCCCCACAGTCATATTTATGCCCCGTATTCCCCAATTTAGACACAAAATACAGTAAAACCCTTTAAATAAAAGTTTTTCTGAAGAGTACCTTGTGTCGTTATTATCTACTCAGTCTTCTTGGATAGCCATTACTAGCTTCAAACGGCTGTATAAATTATACATGGCGCGATTCAGAACACCCCATCATTTTCTTGTGTGAAAACGAGGCAATGTGCGCTACGCCAAATTTCTTGTATTTGACCGACCAGGTATTTGCAATTCAAGTCTCAATTCAAATATGTAATAAACATCGATTCCCCGTGAGTCAAGCAATAGTTCGTGAGTAGGAAAAATTGCTTTTTACCCCGAGAAATTTTTTTTGGCGGGGAAATTCCATGGAGAGCAAATTTAATTTTTTAACGTACGTAATCATAACACCTTCTTACTGATGAAACTGTGATGTGTGATAGGTGTGGCGCGTTATTGCGCTTACAGGGGAGTAGAAAGTCTGACGTAAGGGCAACATTCTTCTACACCACAAAGGAAAATAACAGAACCGGGCAAATACATGATGCCTCGAAAAAGTAAATAATACAATACGTTGATATATCCATCGTTTGCGGCAAAGAAGACAGGAAGAAAAGATAGCGGTAGAATTCAGTGATGAGTAGATTAAAAGAAAAGAAAAAGAAAACGTGCGTTTGATTCCGATATGGTAGCTGTACTATCTGGGAAGATGCTAGTTCATTCAAAAGTCAAGATTACATATTCCATTTCAACTTGTGTTTTCAGAATGTTGCGGAAAGGCGCGATATATTCCAAATGGTATCCCAGACATGGACGCAGGCATTTGCTTCGGAGATGCTGTTACCTATAGGTGTGAAAGCGGCTATAAATTGTCCAATGACACTCCCGTCACTTGCAACTCCCCATACGAATGGCGATACATAGAATTACCCAAGTGCAAAGGTGATTTTAAATAGTATTGATATGTGGATATCTCTTTAAAATTTATAAAATGTCTCTTGACTTTCATGTGCTAAGGCCGTCTTTTTATGGACGCTGACGAAACGTTTTGGGGCTCTCGGTGCCAGAACTCTAAGCACATAGATTAAAATGTAAACATTTCACAGATTCATGACTTCACATACTAGTGTACAATGTTAATACAGACTTGACATTTAATATGGAATATTTTTTCCAAATCATTTTTCTTCAGTTTTTTTCCTATTTTGCTGACATTTTGCTGACTGATAAATAAAAATAAGGATTAAAATAGTGTTCTAATAACTTTAAATTATCTCTTTGATGTCATGGTGACATCAGTTCACTGATTGAATTCGACAGTGAAGCAAACAGAAATACTTTGCCTATTCTAAGCCATATGACAACCATTAAAAGCACTACTTTGGATCTCCATATCTTCCAAATTATCGTCTGTAAAAGAGTTGCACGCTCCACAAAGGACCCTCATGTCAGAGTCTAGTCATGGTAACGGTCGTTGTTAGCTCTGCCCTCTTCTGGCTGTTACCAGCGCTCTCAAGCGGCAAGACATTCCTTGGGATAGGTTTTTGGAGTTTAATCTGGAATAATATTACAGGCATCGTTCAAAAATTTTCAAATTTGGTTCAGTTTTGTTGTTGGACGTGTAGGACGTTAATTCGGCGAGTAATGGCCTACCCACATATTGTCTATGCAGTTCAAATGTGGCGATTTTGATGGCCAGGGCATCTGCTCATTCCCTTGGTTCTGTAACTTATCTGCTATTAAAACAGGCCTACCCAACTACCAGACTCGGCAACTAAGGATCCTGAATTAACCGGTATAGCGGACCACGCTACCCGTTTTCAAGGTGTGTGTCAGTGTCAGATCGCATTTCGGAGTATCATACCCCAGAATAAATTTTGTAGCACGACTGCGGGCTCATCCACGCTCGGCTGAACAACCTGAAACTGTACTCTTACTTTAGAGTACTCTATTTTATTGTCTCTATGGGGGTATATGGGGACTTTACGACATTCGGTTTGAATGTTTTAACCACTTTTGATAGGGCTTTTTTGCATTGTATTAGATTAATGTGGCAGTCTTAGGTTCATCTAGGTGGCTTTCAAATTTATGCGCCCGGTTTTAAAATCATATAGCGATTTTACGACAATCGTTTACTATCCAATCAAAGTGACAGCCGAACATGCCAGGGCTCATCCGATCTGACACACACCTTGAAAACGGGTAGCGTGGTCCGATATACCGGTTAATTCAGGATCCTTAGGTGCCGAGTATGGTAGTTGGGTAGGCCTGTAAAAGAGCTCTGTGAGAACCGACAATCTCGCCGTGCAACCTAAAATTGTTCCTAAGTTGTCCCCTATCAAATGATAGTCAAGTGGTTCCCAGATTATTCCTTAATTTGATCTGGTTCGGGTTTTCGTCGATGACTACCATTGGAGTTTTGGCACCAATGTGGTATCCACTCCAAATACTGACGCTGTCAATGACCCGTGTCACTTTAGACGCGACACATGCTTCGTCGTAGGCCACTTCTGGATGTCGTTAAACTCTGTTTTGACTGGTTGGGCGGTACAGGTGAAATCTGACCTCAATAAAGAATGCCACGCGGTTTCAATGTTCTACCTAGAAACGGTCAGGGCCCCCAATTCATTAGAGAAGCAGACAACGATGTTTTGCTGTTTACCGTGGGTACCTCGGAGGTTGTCTGGTGTTCTAACCTGCAAAAACCAGTTTGGTGTTCGCTAAGGGCCTTGATAAACGCATTTTGGTGGCAATTTACCCCTCGTTCTGAACGGACTGGGTGGTTTTTATTTAGTTCCAGCAGCGTAACCCGAAAGACAATGGGCCCTGTACCCTGGTGGTAAGATTTCAATATATTGGGTGTGACCTCTGTGTAGGTACATCAGTCTGGGCATTACTCTTTAGAACTGTGTGGACCGTTCCGTTTGGCGCAATAATCCGCCTGGCAATATCTGTATTTTTCGCGCCATTCTGCCACCGATTAACAAATTTATAAAGCACTACTATGGGCGGCGGTTTATACAAAAATGCAAAACACGATTAGTCGTCATCGTTATCAGATCAGAAGGCAAAATACGACTAGTAGTCGTCAAAACGCAACTATTCATCAAAACGCAACTAGTCATCATCAAAACGCAACTTGTCATCATCAAAACGCAACTAGTCATCATCAAAACGCAACTTGTCATCAAAACGCGATTTGACGCCAGATGGCGCCCATTGTACGAAAATCTAGGCCAAGTCACATGATCCACAGTGATCAAAATGGCGGACGTTATTGAAGCAGCATTATCATATTCCTCGCTCGAACTCGAGAATTATCTCGAGTTCGAGATATTATTATATATATAATATCATTATTAGATTGTACGCGTAGAGATAATTCTCGAAATAATAAATAATTAAATAATTTATTAAATAATTTGGACATGTTATAAATTAAAAAAAAACAAAAACACACACTTGTGAAGCACTGCTTTATTGTTGTACTCATTTCACAAGTTCCAGATATTATTATATATATAATATCATTATTAGATTGTACGCGTAGAGATAATTCTCGAGTTCGAGCGAGGAATATGATAATGCTGCTTCAATAACGTCCGCCATTTTGATCACTGTGGATCATGTGACTTGGCCTAGATTTTCGTACAATGGGCGCCATCTGGCGTCAAATCGCGTTTTGATGACAAGTTGCGTTTTGATGATGACTAGTTGCGTTTTGATGATGACAAGTTGCGTTTTGATGATGACTAGTTGCGTTTTGATGACTAGTTGCGTTTTGATGACTAGTTGCGTTTTGACGACTACTAGTCGTATTTTGCCTTCTGATCTGATAACGACGACGACAAATCGTGTTTTCATTTCGACTGATCTAATAACGATGACGACTAATCGTGTTTTGCATTTTTGTATAAACCGCCGCCCATACACTACTTAGCTCATTTTACGCACTGCAAAACTGACCGCTTGCATGCAAAATTTCAAATTCTTTTATGCAGTAGTTGTCGACATATGGATACTTTTTTGACAGAACCAAGCTTTGCCTAAGCCAAGCTTTGACCAGCCCAAAGGAACACTATCCAATTAAATTACTGCATATTACATAATGTAGCAGCGCAACCAACATGGATCTCGGTTAATTAGTAGCGACACACCTGACTACACATTTTTTCGTTCACAAATCTTATATGCGATTGGAGTTTTTTGAAAAAAGAACGCATTTTTACCTAGGCATACCTTCGGAACTGAAATATTCCATATTAAATGTCAAGTCTGTAGTTCAGATGCATACATACGCTCAAGCGTTGTACATGTACAACGACTGTCAATATTAACTTTCTTGGTATATATCATTTTATAACAAAGATGTATGGTTCTTTTCCCATACACTACTGATGGCTATTGTTGTCACCGTTTCAGCGGATGGAAACTGTAACTCCAGTGCTATTGCTGGACCAGCAGGTGGTTATAAAGCATGTTCCGGAAGTGACACGGATAAAGTTTGCTACATGCATTGTTCCAACGGCCTGACGTACGTGAATGAACACAGTATATTTGAATGTGGGGCTAAGACAGGCTGGGAGTGGAAGGTTCCTATGAGAGGTGGAAACAATTATCAAAGGGGTACTGTAGGACCTTGCGAAGGTAAGATATCCCTAGACACTAATTTCTTTCTAAGATGTCTTTTTCTTTTGTGTATAGAGCTATTTTAATTTATTCCAAACGTGTGGTATCTCTACGTATCGTTAAGATGCACATAATTACCAATCTGTCCCTATATTTATGCGAAAACAATACAGCGTATTTATGTTACAGTATCTGACGATCCAGCTGGGCTATTAATGTTCCTTGAGGGAAGTGATTTAACACTACAAACCTCTGATTTGACAGAAGCTCTAAAAGAGGAAATAAAAAACGAAATGATGAAAGAATTGGCAGCTCTGAATATATGCTCAGACCCTTGTCAGGTGAGACAAAATAGGCAAATAATTTCTTTTTTATGTGACGTTTAAACAGCAATGATAATGTTTTGTGACCACCTAGTGAAACACAACCGAGCTTGAGTAAAACCTGAGTGAAAACCTCAATATATGCGTACAGTTGCACGTTTACTTTTATACATTTAGATCAGAGATATTGAAATAGAAACTATCGCCAATGGATATAGACGAGCAGTGCTGCAAGAGAAGCTATTACGCATGAAGATCACTTTATATGCAGCTCCTCCCAAAGGGGCCGTCACCACGCAACAATCTGCAAGAATAGAACTGTCTAAGGCCATGAAGTTGTTGAAGTAAGTTGCGACGCGAGCGGTCATTAACATGTCGTATATTCATTTAGGTGTGAACATTCCTTTTAAGAAGCCCGTTCATGTCAGTTGAGATGCTGTTTTGTGATTTCGCTTGAAAGGATCTGGTATTTACACATAGTTATTAATTTTTTTCGCTTGTAGCACAAAGGCAGCGGCACTCAAACAGGCAATATTATCCCAGTCAGTAACGTTGCATATCAATGGCACTCCCGCAAAAGTGGGAGGGACGAACTTGCGGATTTCCAGACCAACTTTGGCGTGTTCTGCAGGTTCCATTAGGAAAGCCTTTGAATGCTGTATGTAAATGAATATTGTTATCCATACAGAAATTAAGAAAAAATAATAACACATACACACACAATACTTTCTGAATAACTGTTGGCATTGATAGAATGTTAATAACTACCAAATATGTGCATATGGGCAAATGCATCAATCATTAATGGAGATATATGTTTGATTAACAGTTGCCTGTCCAGAAGGAACATACCACGACGTAGCTGAAAAGAAATGCGCCTCATGTCCATTTGGTCAGTATCAAGACGAGCGCGGCCAGATGTCCTGTAAATTGTGTCCAAATGGCACAACCACGGATAGAATTGGGGTCACCAATTCTACTCAATGCAGAGGTAAAAATCAAAATTATAAGTGTGCGTAGTTAATTGGAACACTCTAGATATGTAATGCCATTTAGGCATTTTTCTTATTTCTAAGAGCAAAAGTTGATACTTTGTTCTCGAGACATACATGTATCTCACGGTGCACATTTGACTGAAATTGTCTCATAATTCACAATAGCTAATGAAAATGACTTATGTAGTTTAATCGAGGTATATTTAGTGTCTTACATAAATAAATAGTCGTCTTGTCATTATACATATAGTCTTGTGATAGCGTTCCCTTTGCTCACTCTTACAGAATACGAAGGGTGCGACTGTGGCATCCACCCATGCACCCTCAATGGTACTGACTTCAAATGTGACTGTCTTCCTGGATATGAGGACATCAATGGGACGTGCACAGGTATGGTATATGGTGTGTGGAGGGACATAACCTTAAAACATTGTTTGAAATGCACTACACTTCTAGTTATTTTACGGCATGTAGAATACGGAAGATTAAACATGTACACATACTGGCCTGAGTAACGAGTGAACGAGTGCTATTCTATCTTTACAGATATTGACGAATGCCTAACTGACATTTGTCCTCCAAACTCCCGTTGCATCAACAAAGAGGGGTCGTATAGATGTGAATGCTTACCTGGCTTCAAGGGAGGATCTTGTACTGGTAAGTACTCATATGGCATTGTTAATGGCAAGTTTTATATAAGCGTTTCCTTAATTATACCTGCATACTGCGGTAAATTAATTTGCCACGGATTTTAAATGTGAGCAATTAATCTTTATTATCACTTGCGCATTATATGATGATGTTAATTGTATTACAGTTTTACTCATGATGTTTGAGATGCAATAGGTATTATTGTACTACATGTATATATCCACTTATAATTGGGACGAAAATCATTCTTGGTGAATTTGATGGTTTATAGGCAGTATATAAGTATAAATCAATCTTAAGAGCAAATGTAGAAGAAAAAAGTGTTCAAATTTATTTAAGCTTAATATGGATTGTCTCAATCCAGATATAGATGAATGTAAAATCCCCTCCACGTGCTCCAACCCCAGGACTCAGTGTGTTAACACCGTGGGGAGTTATGACTGCTTATGTCTTCGAGGGTTCTACGGAAATAATTGTGGTGAGTTGCGCTGAGACAGTGATGAATTGGATCAGTGCATTCTATTCACATTTATGATAATATGATCCATCATTTTAGATATAACAAAACGCTAGTGTCATGCTTTCTTTGGCTAATTTATGTCGCAGCAATGTCACTTATTTGTTTTAACTTAATTCCCTGCTACGTTCAATTGCTTTTCCTCAGACTGAAAATAACTCCATATTTTGGGGAATGTTTATATGAATTTGTGTGATGGATGTTTCGTTTATTTTTTTCCAGAACGTAATTGTCCGGTGGGATTCGTGCAGAGTGACAGTAGCTGCTACTTGATAACGGAGAAGACGATGACTTTTGACGATGGACGTCTCATGTGTGACAGAGCTTACAACGGGTCACATCTGGTTGATATTAAGGACAAAAGGACTTACAAACTGGTCGCAAAGCTTCTTCAGTCTGCTTCATATTGGACAGGTAATTATGTAACCCAAATACATACACCTTAAATGATCTGACTCAAGTATTAAACACTTATTTCATATTTTACAATACCGCTATATGTTACGTGTAAGAAAATACAACACCAATGTAAGGTACAATTCGATTTTTCAAAACCTCTATCCACAATAATTGACTGTATATTGAAGTTCGACCACTTTTATGGTAAAGTTTTAACACTTTAGGGTTGCATAAATACCACCATCCTATTATTTGTATTTATTTTATAAGTGTAATTTACACGTAAATTTACATTTGAAACATTCTAACCTATACTCTAACATTGATATAAACAGCAGCATTTTATTGTTTTCATCTGAGCTAACATGAATTCGTGGTTTGTTATACTGTGTGATATGTGGTTTTCTAGGTTTAAACGACCGATCACAAGAAGGGAAATTCGTCTACAGTGACGGGGGTCAAATGTCTGCGTATAGTGAATGGAGCAACGGTAACACCCAGCCGTCGTCCAATGACCCTACGAAAAACTGCGTCATTATAGACGGGTCAGCAGCGTTCACGTGGGCAGTTGTTGACTGTAAAGAAAACCATCTAGCTATCTGTGAGCTTGAGAGAGATAACTGAATTCTGAAGTTAGAATAATGTAAGAGCTATCACAAACTATGTGAAACAGCAATTGGATTAGAGATACCAGTTTGCGGTTTAAAATGAACATGTATTAAAACAGATGCTTATATTTTAATGTCGGTATACTTTCTACATATCTTGGGATAATTGGTAAAACAATGGTGGGTATCAACATTTAACTAAACAGAAAATTCTTCTTTCATAATTTACAAGTGTACGCTCAATTAGAATGTTGGCCATGTCTCTTTATAATAAATCAACAATAAAAAGGGTCTAATATTCAGACTTCATTTGTTCTGCAGCGTTTTATTCTCTTATTCTATTCTCTTACACGATCCATGAGCAGGTATACGTTTCTGTTATGCTCCTCTTCTGTTTTTCCGTAGACAACGGTGCCTTCAGTGATTCCAGTGATATCTCCTACACTGTAGGTCTATGAAGGCTTCATCCACCTTTCTCTGGAACACACCAAACAAGGCCAAACGGAATTCAGTCGTAATAAATGGTCGCTACCGTGAGGCGCATTAAAAGTAGAACATTTGAATTCTCGTGGTCGAGTTTAATGTTCTAATAATCGCTACGAGCTCTAGATTTGTTGTTAACATTAAGTAAACAGTTATAGACAGCTTATGATGAAATTTGCAGGTTATTTCCCAAAAGGAGCTAAATGGGGCAATTGATATTTAGTCGACGCTGATGCAACGTACAACGTGTATAATGCCGGGGGGGGGGGAGGGGGGGTTACATCTAAATTATCTTTATTTACGCCCGTAGCAATATATTACAATTAGCACAATGAATATCAACACGAGTCAAGAGATACATACCTATAGATATGTTATGTGGCTGTTGCCATGAATATACGCTTTATTCGGTTTTTGGTGTGTTTTTCAAGGATATAGGTGTACATTTTTCTCGGTATATACACTGATGCTCATAAGTTAAGCAACAACCCGATTTTTTCAAAAGTTTCGTTAATCATGATCATTATTTCATGTGTTAGTGGCATTATGCATATTTCTTTTATATTTCATTAATAATTTTGCCAGTTTGAATATTTCAGTTAAAGAAATGCACCACATAGCTTATTGTAATAATCAAAATAACTCAATAATAACTCTTCCTATGAGATTCAAAATTCCGCAAGAAATGCATTGTAAACAACGCATGGACATATATTCTATTGCATTTACCACTAAAACGGCCGTTATGGTAGTAAACTAAAATCTGTGCTTGTCAATAGGGCTTTCGATGCCTTTCTTCCCGGTCGTCAAGGCATCCGTTGCCAATGACGTTTGGGTACCGGTGTCACGCAGATTCTCGCGTTCATTCGAGACCAAAATAACATGGCGCGAAACTATTGATGCAATCTGCAGACGTAAGTTGCGAGTTTTTGTACAGTGTGTCGGATAACGAAAAGCCCAGAATGACACACATTGTAGATATAAATGCATTTTGAGCAATAAGACGAATATATCTTATGAATCTTATATTATTGTTATAGAGTGTTGTTGTTGTCTGCTTTTCCCTCGGTTATAAGTAGGTCACCAGAAAATATCGCTCGATATCGCGTGACTATGCATTGCAGGAGGGCTCCGAAAAAAAAAAAAAAAAACAAACTTTAAGGGAAAAAACCCTAGACTAACTTTGAATGCAGTAATGGGGTCGTTGACTATTGGTAAGTACGGGAAAATTGCCGTTTACTCCAGGAAATCCAATTTTTGGCCAAAACGAAGAGTTATTATAACTTTAACCAAACGGTACTAAAATATTCCAAACCATTTGTCAAAAAAGTATGCTCACACAGCAGAAAGGTACGTGCTGATTGAAACAGCCTATTATGGAAAAATAAAGTTCAATCATCTAAGAATTAATTTTAATAAAAGAAGAGTGTAGATAATAGATGATTAATCGTCTATTATGCAATAAATATAGGTTGTGCCTTCCCTGGGTTTGAACAACAGCCACTTGCCACCAAATTCTGCCAATCTTGCTTTGGGAGCAGGTTATATTCTTTAATTACTGCCTGCTGGACCTCTCTAATGTTTCTAACTGGAGGTTGTCTCTTATTTACTGCTCTGTCAATCATATCCTAAGCATGTTCGATTACATTGAGTATTGGCGAATATGCAGGCCAATCTAAATTTGGGATATCGTGCTGTTGCAGCGCGTCTTGCACGGACCATGCTTTCTGGATGGGCGCATTGTCCTGCACCAAAATGCTTTTTCTTCCTGGATTTGTTTGAATGTGTGATTGTATTCGCCCCAATGGTAATTCGTCTCTGTATTGTTGACCAGGATACCGTCCTTGAATGACGTATAGTGGCGATTTTTCATCATATGAGAAACCGCACCATACTATGACGGATAGTCCGCCACCCTGAACACATGGAAGAACACAATCATCCTGAATGCTTGGTTTGGACCTCTCCAGACGCCCAGCCGACCATCTGCAAAATAATGTAAAATAATGTATCTTTCCTGTTAAACCTGAATACAAAAATTGTAGCCTTATACGCCAATGACATATCATGTAGTGACCCAAGCACATTCATGAAATCCTTACGCGTACTAAAATGACCAATGTCCATGTAGTACCCTGTACCTAGCACTTCAGTTATTAACTAGGCCTACATAATATATTTTTTTCAAACAAAAGCTTAAAGTGAGTAGTTTTACCACTCCATTATTCGTTTGTCACAAAAGTCATCTTCAAACATGGAGCGAGGTTTTATATGTTTTAGTACCTTACAATTGTACCTAGTATTGCAGTTAGTTAAATGTAGATATGAGCCGTTGTTTGGGGACTCTATTGTTGTAATTTTGGGAGAAATTGCAGGATTCATAGCTTATACTTTCTGACAGCAGAGCATTACCCTTGATTTTAATTGAAAGAGTTTGATTGTATATCTCACATTTCCGTACAATCTTTTCAGTCTATGACGTACAACAAAAAGTCAAACTCCAGTGGAATCCATGTCATTTGAAGTGTTAACGTGTGGAATCACGTAGACGACACCTGTGCCAAATGGTCCGTTACCTTTAACGGGGCTCAGTGCTCCAATCCTGGGAGTATTGAAAATATCATATATACGCATGACTTTGACACCGGAACATACGTGAATTGGCATCTCCCGAGCATTGGTAAGAGCATGCAATGTTGATCATATTAAAAAAAAAAAAACAAAAAACGATACCGTGTCAGAAACTACCAGTGCTAATATCTACTATGGTCTTGCTCATATTGTAATTTTTTATGGCTAAAGACATCGATGAGTGATGTTGCTTGTTACCTCCAGTCGATGGCATATGTCTTGGAGTCGGGCGCGGTGACGTTATCATTGCTTTGGTGGTCTGCGAGTGTCCCTCAAACCCTGCATACGATGCATTTACGGGTTGGGAATCTGGGTCCTTCCTAATGGTGGGAGAGGTCTTTCTTGGAGCCTAACAGAAGACCATGGTCCAAAGAGAGGCAGTTTCAGACAGCGGGCTGCCAAAGACACTTAATATTATGAAGGCGTCATGCAAAAGCGCTTCTTTTGTCTTGTTAAAAACGAATATTTTATTTTACTATGTACAGTAATATGAATACTTCAGTGGCGCCTGTTGTAGTAAACAAGGTCACACTGCAGCTTCTTCCCCAGAATGTTACTTTTTGTGTAAGATTCTCTCACGCCTAGCTTTATTTAACAATTCTAGTGGGGAATTGTAACTGTCTTAAACAATATCAACTAGAAAAGCACTCCGAGAGCGCAGACCTCAGCCAAGGCAGCGATTTTTGATTATTATTGATAATTGATTGATTATTGATCCGGATCACCACCAAAAATAAACCATCTCTTTCTTGGCCCACTTCTGACAGTTCCTAGAAATTTCATCTTAATCGATCCATAACTTTTTGAGTTATGTTGATGGCAAACAAACAAACAAACAAACAGACAAACCGGGGTGAAAACTTTACCTCCTTGGCGGAGGTAAAGTAGCACTGAGAAAAGTTTCATTATAGACGACCGTTGATTCACTTAAGTCAGTATATCGGGAATTTTTATCTAGCCAATATGATTCAAGCTCGAGGTAGAAGTAAAATGTTTGTAGGAAGACCGTGACTGTCTTGTCTATGAAATAATTTTTGTCATATGATCCATACGATTACTGGAATACATTTGTCAAATAATATATTTAAACAATAGCGAGAGTCCCACGGAGTTGGATCGATCCACGTAGAACAGTGGGAATGAGCCCTTAGGTTAGGTCAGTTATCTAAATACAGACATTTAACTGTTGTGTTCTGATATACGTCGTTTCCTTGAACCCGCGGTCACTAAAAGTATACCATTCTGCACTTAAGAAGTACCGTGTACCTATTGACGATTACAACAGGCATATTATGCATGGAACCTCATGTCATATTTTTTGTTCCCCCTAGTTTCGTTCCAGCTGTAGGTAACTCTTGCTTTTCTAGTTACCCCTGTAACATTCAGTCGATAAAGGGCCGGTGTGACGTCCCTCCCCCTTGATAGCGAGTCCGCCCGCTTCCCATGCGTTTGTACAGGAAAGCCTCGCCCCAGATTTTCACCCACTTACGTCAGGCTAACCCTAACCTATATAATTGAATGGAAAGTGGACTCTCTATTACAGGGACCCTGACTTTCGTCACACCGACTGTCAGTCAAGAGATGTGAGGATAAGCAGCTGGACAAAATGGTGGTCGTATGTAGGCTCATTTCTGTCCGTTAGAGGGCAGGTTAGAATTTACCATGTGACACTAAATCAGACAGTATAGTTAAGGTCGATCAAATGACGAATGTTAAAGTATCACTGATACTGTGCAACCATTTTGACATACAGCAGTGCACTACGGATGCCACGTGATGGGGTAAAGGTGTTGTCCGCATTAATGGACTTCATCATTCATGTCATCAAACATTTACTATATAACACACTGTTTCCACTTAATACAGATAAAACCGCTTTATACAGATAAAAGAGCGATAACCATAAAGTGTCCCAAAATGACACTGCATGTCCTGAGAAGCAGAATTCGGTTTGTCGTTCAACTACAGTGCAGTATTCCCCTGTGAAGGTAATTGATAGTGGGTCATTCCGCGGCCAGTATCTTAGTCCTTGCGTACTAAATAATGGAAACTGAGCTGACCATTATCCCCATGGTCTCCCACAGAAATACACACACTCAGACAAGATAATACGGTCCTGCCAGATGAAATAATCTATATATGGATAGCAATTAGTCATTTACTCGATTTACCAATATTTTAACGCAGGCAACATTCTAATGA